TATATTGCAGGCAATTTGTGACGAAGACCAAGGACAGCACGGTTGCTCTCTCTTTATCGTCGGGCCAATGAGAACTGCTGAAGAATCTAAGTAGTGATGACAGAAAATTATTCAACGGCCAACGTGGTTAATTTATTCAAAAGATTTTCATTTCTTTCTTAAGAGTCGAGAAAGGTTTCCGAAGCTTCTTTCTAAAATTTATCTTCTTGATCGTCTCTATTAAAACAGCGAGGAGAGAAATCCTGTTTTTCAGCAAAATTACTCTCGGTACCTTGTTATCTTAAAACAGCCCCAAGGACTAAATTAATTTGCACTCATCACTTTCTGTCACGTATCGACAATTAACAAAATAACTAACTTAGAAATCTATTTGTTTGCCGTTTTTTTTCCTGTGCGGATCCAATTCATACAAACAGGCAAAAGAAAACTAACAATAAGTCAGTCTATATTGGTCTGCATGATAATGATATCAGCAATTAGAGTAGATCAAAGGCTGGTTTAGTTTTCATGTTCTTCAAATTGCAGTTACTTCAAAACCATTGCACCAAGTAAAAATCACGATTGATTTTGCTCATTGCAAATTCTGCTGATGTTCCTTTAAAGTTTTGTTGTTTGGGTTATCGATAGAAAGGCGTGTATTTGCCTCACTAAAAAATATGTAATGGATACTTAACTGATCTTTAATCGGTTTCTAAAGCGTATACAATTTTGAGAAACGATCATTACCTTAATGGCGAAGAAGGGGTCTTTCACAGGTCTAAAGTACTTTATATGAGAACAATACCTCTTGGATAAGCGCAGCTATTTATAGGCAAGGCGTGATTAATTAGTGGTATGAGCACTAATCAATTCTTCACCAGAATAAATTTGTACGATACGGTTCTTACCAGCTTTGCAACGCACCTAAAACTCTTTTATATCTCCTATAGTTCATACTGCTCAATAACGAATTGAACGAAATGGAAATTAAAACTCTAATAGGCTTTCAACCCCTTAAACTCTAAACTAAAAATGTCACGAGAACTATAAACTTTTCCAGCAATACAGAAATGAAGTATAACCTTTTCCGGCAAACAATTAAGGTCATAAGGCACATTTTCAAAGGCAGTTATGGCCTACTGTATTCGAACCAGTTCTCTATAGAGGAACTTATATTCTCTGAAATCAAGAAACACACCTCTTAGCGCTTTCAGATCGACTACAGTCCACAGCCTGCAGAATGTTAACGATTTGACGTGTACAAGAGTATACTCCATACTAGCGATTTCTTGCATTTACACGCATTACTCCATAACTGGATTTCACAGTACCTGTCGTTTATAAGTGGAATTCCTTTGATCTTGTTTTGCCCACTGGGTGCATAATCCCAGTTTCTTTCTACAGCTGCAATAAAGTACTCTCGAGTCGAGCAGCTAACCTCTCTTGGCAGGTAAATCCACGATACAGCAAGACTGAACGCGCAAAATAGCAACATAGTTGCAGCATTGGCACCGGCAAACTGTCAAATGTTACTCGTTTGCAAGATTGATATAATGACGTTTTTTTATACGTTATGCATACAATTATATCGAGTGTCAAGCCGAGTTTTCTAATGATTCAATATTTGCATACTGTTTGTCAAACAGATATTTCCACGCATGATGCTTTCTAGTCCCCTGCCTATTGGATTGCGGAACACAAAGGTTCCTGATACGATTCTGTTGTAAATTACTTTGAAAACTTAACATTAGAGGGGGTTAAATTTCCCTGAAGCTGTTGAAACTAGTCTTGCTAATTGGGACAACTTGTCGATCGGTAAGAGGCTGGGTCGCAAATTTCTTAACTTTCGCGCCCACGATCATAAACGATCAAAAAATGCCTTTCATTCTTGTCCTTTTGTTATCTATCTAGTTACGTTTGATTGGTCCGTGTAAGTTATTTAGTTATCATCTACTCAGCTGTATTTCGCACGCATTGTCTGTCGTTAAGGGATTTTGCACTTTGCTACCCATAGGATATTGAACTACCTTCACCTAGCAGCTTATTATGGTACACCTTGACCACAAGATAGTTTGTTTCCTAGCTTTTTCCTTTTGCTTTACTAGCTTCGGTAGTTCTGTTTTTTCTGGGTTGCTATGGTATTGCTTTAAGAATAAGCCCACCATCGAAAAAAATCTGGGGGGTCCGTTTACAAGGAGGTGAGGGGAACCCAAGGTAGGTGAGATAATCCACTGACCCGTAGTTGAAAAAGAGGAGATATAACTGTGAAAGATACGCATTTAAAGCTGCTTTCACTTGGTTTATGATTCAGCTCTTCGAATATAAACTGATAACCGCTGATTGCTTCTAGGCTGAAGTCATGCAACAGTATTGATGTTTATTTATCACGTTTTCCGGAACAGTGCACCCGGAGTTTAACTTACAAGGCGGAGGACTTAATTTTTTTCTTTACATCACTTATTTTCATGCATCAAAACACGATTACAAAGAAAAGATGATAACATTTTCGCTGTTTTGACGTTCGCCCTGCGGGTGTTCCAAATCGAAAAACAAGAAAGCAACTAGTCAAGTTGTCTGTCATAAACTGTGTTTTAAACAAGTGGTCTCTTGAACACGAGAGGAAGCCGTAGAGAAGTTCCTTTCACTAACAAGTAATAATGATTTTTTAATAAAGCATATGGTGAAAGCTCTTGCTTATTTTTAAGCCCTTGGCTCCCTAATGGAACACAGGTCATTGATGACTTCCGATCTCCATCTGCTTCTGAAAAGCAAAGGAGAAAGCTCTTGATGTTTCTTGATAAACCTGGTGACATGACTTTTTGAAAGAATAAGCCTATCATCCGTCTGGCGGATCACTTTCTTTCATGCATCCGAAGAGATTCCAGCGCTTTTTTGACTACACCATGTGGGTACTCCAAACCGAGAAACAAACCGTTAATGGCAAGTCTACAACAATGAATAAGTTGCCAGTAATCGTATCCTTTCGTTTGCACCAAGATTTCACGGAGCAGACATTGCAACGCGCTAAAAGGAAATATATGGCGAAAGGTTGTTTCCACGTCCATAAAAGGATTTTCGAGAGAGATCAACGCAGCTTTATCATATATAGATAAAGATAATGTTAATACGAGGGAAGTGTAAGTTTTTGTCAGAATAACCACAAAATATGTCATAAGATATATATCCATAGACGTCTCTCCTTGCATAAGGTCCATCGTGAAATCGTCATCGCGTAATAGTTATAAAATTAGCGATAAATCCCTAAGAAATAACTCATTTAAGGCTTTTCAATTGTATTTATGTATTTACAGCCTGTTTTAATACATGTTAACGTATCAAATAAACAATTCGCGACGTCTGAAAAAATGCCTCCTCAAAGTAGAGAGGTCGTTGTCAGCGGACATGGGAATTGTTTTTACCGAGCTTTTGCCCTTTGGAAAGATGATATAAGCGATGAAAAACTTGAGGAAATCCCTAGGTCAAGTGATACTTTGTTTGAGAAAAATCTACTTTTCCCCTCGAACTTCCCTTGGAGGATCTTGTTAAGAAAAGCAAGGTCACGGGAACTCCGGTAGAAACTGTGGACATTATGCATCGCTCCTTGAGCGCCCATTTGAACCTATTAATCGTCGCGGAAGAAAGGATTCAGTTTTGAGCTGATTATCATTGGTTCTTTCCCATTAATAACAACAAAGAAGCACTGTAGATGTTTAGTCACTTTTTAAAATGTATCGCGATCATATTTAATGCTCAAGCATTTCAATCTCCTGCTGCCCGAAGTAGCTTTTGTAGCGCTGTTTTGAGTTACCAAGCCAACAAAAATGCTAGAAGTTAACTTACCACACGTTAAAAAAATAAAAAGACTCTGTTGAGTTATTTCTTGGCAATTTATAGCTGATATTTCTAAATTTCGAGACCATTACGCGATGTCGCATGTTGCTTAAATGCGTTCTGGATACAATCTGACATCGTGAATTGTGACGCAGAAAGAATTTGAACACTGCACCGATTTGTTCTTTTCCCGTTCCAAAAGACACATGCTTCTGAATTCATGATTATAAGTTTTGTAACAATGGAAATTAAATGTACAGGTTTAATTTAAACCTACAGTGTGGAAAATAGTTTCCAATCCTGGTCTATTCCTATGTCATGTGAACAGTGTTCTCTGAGTTGAGCACTTTTCGACGCAGTTCTTGAAACTCCTTTGCCATTTGAGACCGAAATATTTCAGACCTTAATAGCTTTTTTAAGAGACGATTAGTGAAATAAAGCTGGGTCTGCAAAATCGAACCCAATTACGGACCCTGAGCAGTTTATGAGTGCATTCTAAAATCCTTTTGACTTTAGAACCTCGTGGTAAAATCTGCATCAAAAAAAGTTGATATAATTTCATACTTAAATACTACACATACTCATTTAATCTGAGCAACGGAGTTCCTTGCTTTTTCTCCTTGTTTCTTTACTACTCAAAGATTAGTTCATGTTGCGTGTAAAACTCGCTTAACAACGGGAATTTTCTTGAAACTGTCGCAACTGTAAAATTGGACGTCATTAAAATGATGATACCCTGACGATACTAATCGCGAGAAAACTAAAGATAAAAGCTTTGATAATAATTTAAAAAACCCAAATATTTTCTTCTTTTAATTTCAGTAATATGCCCTAGTTTCGTTTCGTGCGGGTGCTGAAAATTCGTACAATACTGGTACACGCATTACCTGACATTATCGTTCTTTAGCCGGATTCCTCTGATCTTGTTTTTTCCACTGGGTGCATAGTTCCAATTTCTTTCAACGGCTGCTACGTAAAAATCACGAGTAGCTGAGCTAACAGGCCTTATAAGGGTACACTCCACAGCAAGGAAACTCGCTAAAAGGTACAGCAGCATTTTGTAGTAGTCCAGGTACTGAGCTGTATTTTTTTTGCTTTAAACTCGACCAAAGTGTTCGTTTTTGCGGTAGTAATGAATAGTTGTAAAATGTAGTTACCACGTAATTTAACACAGTTGAATGTGATAGATGTCATTTAGTATATTGAAGTTTTAATGAGGAAATTAGTTTCAGGGCAAACGAGGACAATAGACGGACATAAAACGCAGGTCAATGTCCATGAGCACAAAAACAGCCTTTCGAATCATTTCACAATTGTTCCGTTGGCTATTATAGTTAAGTGTTAATTTGCCTTTTGTGACAATTAGGCTTCATTTGTCCTAAACGAGATTCCTCCGGTCCTCGAGGCCGAGTATTTCCATTAAGTTTACATCTGATGGTTCTCAAGGCAAAATTTAACAGAAAATTGAAGAAAAAAACTCTAACATAACCAGGACTGGGGTGGGGTGGGAAATACGATCGAACTGAATAGAAGTGACAATGAGCCTAGCCTACGAGCAGTTCCTCCATTTCGGCGAAGTCCATCATGGCAGTGACAAAAAATTGGTGTTAGCGCGCCGCGAGGAGCTCTTGGAGTGACGTCGATGCACTGCGGGAGCTCCATGAGTGAGGCGCTCGAAAAGTAGCGGCACATCGAAGTGTCTCAAAGAGCTCCCTGCGGCGCACCACCATCAACTCTTTTTCCACTGATTTTTTTTTTTACTCGAGTGCTCGTAGTCTACAGTAAGCTCTGTGTGTTAGTAGTTTTCCCTTCTAATATAAAGACAAGGAAAAAGAGCTAAAAACCTCCCTTTAGGCAAGAGAATATAATATTTTGATTTTGGACAGTCCAATAATGGTCACTTTTGACATCACGTTAATTTGGTCAGAAACTGTTTACTTTATTATGCTTCCTAAAGAGTTCTTAGCATTGTACCCGAACATTTCAAGATCGCGACGGTAAAGTTTCTTGACCCGCATAATGTCTTCTCGTGGAACCTTGGAATAGTAATCCCCCAAGCTGTTCCTAGTTGATGTGTAACGGACAGGAGGAAATGATACTAAATGATCCACACCCGCCTCGTGTAACACAAATGGAGCATCCTCTGTTAATGTCTCGTATTTTCCGATAAAATCAAAGTCTATCTCGCACGGATGACAGAGGTTATCGTAATGATTCCAATGTTCATCTATTTTCCCCCTTATTGAGTGAGTATCGATTAAGTATGATATGAAATCCTCGAACTTAAATTCTCCATGAAGTGCTGAAGATGTTTCATTAGCGCCCAGTCTTACTCTGACAGATTGCTTGATTTTGCTCGCGTACAATTTGTAGATATCAGTTTGATTGGTCAGTTTGTTTCTATACGCTGACAATAGTCGCTCAAAAGGCTCGCGAACGAAAAGAAACTTGTAGTAGTTCTGCAAAATATAACGTATATCAGCTTTGGAGTGATAGCTGAGAAAGTTGAATTTTTGTTTGTGTACAGACTTGCCAGTCAACCCCACAAGTTTCGCCATGATTTTCTTCCATTTGGAGCACGCAACTTTAGGAATATAACAATAGACCAGTCGGTGTTTGCTGTCCACTATGAAATGATTTAGGTCCTTAGCTTGCAGTGCTCTTGCCCTCGTCTTTTTACAGTATGCCAGAACTTGACGTTTTCTCTCTTCTTGTCTGGATGCCATAGAATGAACGGACTGAAAGTAGAAAGGTTTAGTGCGATTTTAGTTTGACCCGGGTGAAAACCACAATTGAAGTAATCTTAACTACCAGTCGCAACAGAAGTAAATATAATCATAAGCCAACTGGAATTAAACTAAATGTCTCGTGAATGTCTAAAGGAAGAGAAAACGCAAGAGACCAGGTCGCCATTCGTTAAGTGTTGCATTTGATTGGTTAAGAAATTGGTGGTAGGTTTTCTGAACCAGTCAAAAAGCTTAAAAAACTCTGCAATCCGTTATAACCTTGACAATATTTTGTCAGTTGTTCTGCGGTCAAACACTTGATACTGGCTTCGGGAAAGGCATACTACCAAGTTCATATTCACCAAGGAAACTCATGAATTGTCTTTGGACTGTCAAAATGCTGAGTTTTGATTTGAGCTCAAACTCAAAACGAACTTTTCGATATAATCCATCCATAACAGAGGATGTCTCCTCTTTGTAGGACACGCGACATGTAACGGTTGGCACTTGAAACTTTGTCTCGACCGTATGTGAAGGAAGTGAGGAAAGGCTTTTGGAGAAATCGAGATATGAATCGTGGGGAAAATTTTGATTTTAAAGTAACTTTTTGCTGTTCTTAACTTGTTCTTCACTTTACTGACCTCTGGTTTTGTTGACCATCCTGATCCTGATGTGTTATATGATGATTCTTTTGAGGTGAGACCTGTGGAAAAAGAACAAACTTAGAAATACTTTCATTCCCGTTATTTATACTTGACCTCATTTTCAATACACAGATTGTGGATGTTAATAGATTTGACAAAGGAACAGCACCTGATGTAAACAACAGGCCAATCACCTCTATTATACAGCTGAAGCCTAAAGATTCCTGTGTCTTCGCTTAAATAATTCGTCGCATCATTCGATAGAAATCGGTACAAAAAACAAAACAAAACAAATTCTCGTCGCAGTTCATCAGGACCGAGCTTATTCCGAGTTCCGTCATACCAAGCAACAAGTACTGTATTCCCTCGTCAATATAAGGTCTCCCAAATAAATCATTATTTGTCCAATTCCCACAATTTGTACCGCTAATTTTTACTGCTAAGAACAATGAAGAACACAACACATTTAACCCCAAGACGACACAAAAAAATTCTTAATTGAATTATACGGTCTTATATCAAGTAATTTTCGCAAGTGGACTTTAAATTACACTAAGCAAAAGGAAAAAAAAAATTTGAACGTCACTCACGCTGCTGTATCCGAGACACGATCGATTACTATTTGGACGCTTAAATTGAACGAGAAGTCATTAACTTAAGTAGCATTCGTCAGATTCCGTAGGGATTTACTGAAGGCTTTAAGTCGCGAATCTAACAAGTCACAGGGTTTTAGTTTTGGTGATCATCTCTCAATTCCACTTCCTGACCTTTGATGAGAGTGAAAAACGAAAATACTAGAAATGAAGCAGCAGATCTATCTATTTTTAAAAACGAACATTTTTAGGGTCAAAACGGGACATTTAACAGTTACGCGTACCGCTATCTGCCTTGTTATTTTCACTTTTGTTCTAAAACTCATCAAGCTTTCATTAAGTCGTTATTACTCTTCCCGAGTAGAAAATTAAAATTGATCTGAAAATTTATGTACGTGAATTTGAGTACAGTGTGTTCCTAGATTAAATACTCAGAAGAGAATAACTACCGTGAGCGGATTTTCTACAAATTCCGTCGCTTATACGTGCGTGTTTATTTCTTCACAAGTGATCAAGATGCATGGGACCACTTTGAAAATGAGATGAATTACAACACAGTGTAACAAAGTAAGTTCTAAAACTGGAGAGTGAATCGTTCCAAATCGTTGATGAAATATAACTTCGTTTATTTTCAAGCACCTCAGTGGGACTGATTAAAGCGCAAGACATTATAATTGGATTATAAAATGTTTCAGGAACCACTCCAAGCGCATTAAACAGTTTGAGTAAAGGCACGCATTTCCTGCCAGGTTAAAAAGAATGTTAGAGGGGCGAAAATATGTGCAAAAGGCTCAAAAACATTTGATGTGACCGAAATACAAAGTGCAACAAGCTGAAGCGCGCCTTATTCAGGTGTTATTGGGCCTTTTTTCGCAGGAGTGATCAAAAAGTAAATTCTATTGCTAGCCATAACACTATACTAGATGAGGGGATATGGTTTAATTCAACTAAATTTTTTACAACTGAAATAGCAAGAAATGCGTAGCAAATACTACATATGGGATTGATCTTTAGCTCTAAAGTGAAAGGGTAATAAAGATAGTTGTGGTATATAGCCATATAGCCAAATTGCAAGTGGTTGAAAAACCATGATTATTCACAAATTACGAAGGAAAACAAAGGGATACAAATCGACAACGACATTATAGATTAGGAAATAAAAACTAAATAACAAAGTATTTGTTAACGTTGTGTTTCTTAAACACGATGGACGGAAAGCGGTGGAATCGAAAACGTGAGTGATTTCATGCAAAAAAAAATTAACCCAACCAGGTAAAAACATATTTTGCAAGGAAAAATCTAACAGAATTTGAATCATGTTGAGCAGAAAAGGAGCGAAAACGAGAAAAATCATTTCTATTCACAAAAAAATGTTACTGAGAGTTCAAGTTACATATTTATCTGGGAACACAGACGCAACAATGGATTCGACCGAGTTACAAGGAAGTCTCTCCTCAGCTAATATAGGAAATGCCGAACAATCTACATCTTTTTATGTTCTTACCTTTAAATCTCTGCCTTTCTGTTGAAATAATCAGCCAAATAGTATAGATGCCACCAAAAATTGCCATCGATGTAAAAACCTTTCTACGCATCATCCTGGTTGCATGTAATCGAACTTGAGCTATCAGACACGATTCCAAAACAAAGTGTAAACAGTGTGATCACTAAGAGACAAAATGGCACCTCTACAATATAAGATAAATGGATGTTAACTTGTGGCTCTTAATAAGAAAGATCATTGCTATTTCCGGTAGCAAGTTGAGGGCGAACGAACGTCGCAAGCCGGATACAAAACGGCAGAGGAAAACAGTCGTTCCTTGTTCCCATGGGGTCTTCCCTAGAAATCTTGGAAGGGGTTTCCCGCTCGGGTTTCTAAATCATGACTCTCTCTCATGCTATTGTTCCGTAGCTGTAAAACACAACCTACCGAAGACATACGGGGGCTAATGCATAAACTTGAGTCAAACACAGCGCGAAAAGTTACTTTACACCAATTTTGTTGAAAGCCACGAGAGCGTAAATATTCGTGCAAAAATGCGCGACTAAATTTGGCCAGAATTCAACGGGACATCTAAGTTAAATCGGTGCCTTTGAAGACAACCTTAGGGTACTGAGATAAAGCTGGATTTACACCCCTTTAAGGTTTCCGAGCGTAACTGGATTAGTACCCTGCCGTCACTTATCGTTTATTATTATTCCGGAATAATAATTGGGAACAATTTTAGAGCAGGCGTTTAGCTAATTAAGAAGGCCTCATAGTCGCGAGTTGGTCAGTTGCTTTTTGGAAAAAAGAGGGTCGTAATATCAGCCTTTTTCTCAAGAAAGCTGTGATACTGTGAAAGATTTCTGGTCTTTCTAGCCAGAAAAAATGTCGAAAATCTTCCTCACCGTCAAACTGGTCGCCAACTCATCATCGTCATCCTCATTCTGATCCTCATTGTTACATAAGTTGTATGGAGCACTTGAAGCCCAATCTCAGTGTTAAGTACAGAGTGAATTTTTGTACTTGTCTTCGTAGATGAAAAAAAGATATGTGACGTCAGGGAATCATCCTAGTGCCCTAATGAATAATGCAATGAGTGTCCAGGCTCGAATTAATTTTTTTTGCCTTCTTCTACGGGTACTCAATTCATTGCCGCACTGGCCAAAATTAACAACAGAAATTTCTCGTCTCTTTATTTCAGCAAAGGAAATATCTATGGGAAAATTTATCAACTAACTTTTTACGGGCACCTTTCCCTCCATTCCTTTAGTAAAAGGAAAAAAAATCCTTCGTGAACAAACGAACGATTGACAATGCATAAATAAGCAAATTAGACAGTCCGAAAAGAAAGTCAATTATACTCACCACTGACCCTTTTTTTTCAGGCAAGAGTTATTTGTGCTCGTCAACAATTGTTACTGAAATATTAGTTCCTAACGAACAAAAATAAATACATAAAAAAATTACACGACTGTGATGCATTTATGTCTTTTAAAATTTTTCCAGGTAAGAAAATCAACATTTTCTTATTCAGTCTTTCTCGGGACAGGATCAAACTCTTTGTTTTTGGCCTCCGAGAAGGAAAGAATAAGGAGAATTTTGTCTTCTACTCTTTCCCCCCTACTTTGAAACCCTCCCCCTCCCTCTCGGCCCACGCCCTGTACCGTATCTGCCTGAGTCTCTCACGGGAATTCTCCGATAAGAATTGTATTTCCTATGGGAAATACAGTTCTTATAGGAGAAACTAGAGATTGCACGTCTTTTAAACACTGACGTTCGGCTTTTGAAGTTCAGTTTTAAAGGGTAGATTGAGGTTTTTAAAAAAAGAGATTTTTGTCAGTGCATTTCATAATCTTTTTCAAGCAAGACTATTAACCAATCAACAGACGGAATTAATTAGACGAAATGAACTTGATATATCAGGCTTTTTGGATAAGCTCTTTAATTATTGAGTATCGCTCAAACAGATATAATACTGATAAAGATTTAATCATTCCAGACGAAATTTTTAAAATTCAAGCCCAGGGGCTGTTACTTGTGTTTTTTTCTGAAACGTAGACAGCTACAAAAAAGCCATGTGTAAGCCGTCTAAAGTAAACTTTGGGTGCGAGGGAAAATTTTATTCTGACACACATTGCAAACAGCATTATTCTCAATAACTTCTGCATAAATGCAAAAATTTATAGTAAATATGGAGTTTGAACCAAAGAAACAGCGCGAGCCGCAAAAGTCTATCAGAAACAGTCTTAATGCGGCGCCAAGTTAAGTAGATTACAATAGGCGATGTTTATATATTTTTATAGTATTAGACTGCCCCATGAGGCCTTGATGCTAAATACAGAATTTTGTAATATTTGCAGAAACTGATTTGGCTTGATTTAGAGCGAAGATCTCAAAAAAAATTGAAGGTCAGATTAAAACATCATCAGACAGAATGCTGATTAATTATCCTGCTGTCTTCGCGACAAGGATGCGGCGCTCCAAGTTCAGAGACACCCTCTTAAGAAAAACAATTTTTTTTCGGAGGCCGATTTTAAAGTTAGAGATTAAAAACTTAATGGTGATTCCAAAGGTAAGAGTTTAAAAACATCACTCAACAACATTGTCGACCCGAAAGTATATGAATCACCGCTATCGACGATTTATCAATGGTTCTTAAACTAAAGGAGTAGTGTTGACTTTACCTTAATGCAATTTATGCATTGTCAATCGTTGACTTTACCTTAAAGGGTCCGGACCAAATCAATCAATTTTACAAAGTACTTTAATAGGCTTAAAATCCAACGGAATTGTTCTAATGCGGATCACACTGTCTCCTACTTGTCCTCTTTGAACACGCTTCGGTGCTACGAGATAGATTTGTATCTTGCCTAAGGATTCTAGTTAAACGGTTCAATTTACGAGGATTAGATTATATAATTGTTCCATTATGAAAAGGGTTAGGGGTTAAATTTATCGAATTTAATCTGAATTCTATTCATTTATTGGTTACCGGAATCTCGTTTCGTGTTGAGTCCAATTTTTGATTATAAGTTTTGCACGTCAGTAACATGAAAGGATTTCTTTGCAAAACTTTGTAGTTTACTGAACGATGACAATTTAATCTTAGCTA